CCTCGCGATATTTATACAATCCGCGTTATAATTTCGTTTTCGAATTTTTTTTTTTTTTGGTTCGTTCCGTTGTTGTCGTTGTTGTCCGTGGAGCGGTGCAAAATGGGAATGAAAGGTTCTCTGTTTGATAATCTTTCGGGATGAATGTATTAAGAGGGAAAGAGGCGATTCTTTCTTACTTTTTTTTCTTTTTTTTTTTTGCCGTAAATACGATGCACGCGCGCGAATATGTATGATGTACGCCAGCGTAGGATGTTTGAAGATTGATTATCCGTGAAAGGATTTATGCTTTCAGGATTGTTTATTCGCGTTGAGAAGAGAGAGAGAGAAAAAGAAATATTATAATTTCGTTCGTGGATAAGTTGTACAGGTGTATTGGAATATTTATTCGGAGAATGGAGAGAAGTTTAAATACTCGTTAAAAAATCAATTATCGCTAACTAAATTTTTATTGGACATTGCATTTAATGTCATCGGATAAAATTACTGTTTTGTTTGCTCTGTTATTTTATATACGATACAATATCGATTAATTTAGATTGTTTTCAGATGAAATTTTATTTCTTATTTATATATTTTACTTCTCTCTATTCTTCAACCGAATAAATAAGAAAAATGATAAAATAAAATTATCGATAATAATAATTAAGTAAAAAAGAATTTTCATTTGTTCTTACTTTTCAAAATATAGTGGATACTGGGAACAAATCTATCTACAATTGGCTTTCAGATAATATAATTCCTATTTTATCCTTTATCCTACCCTGTTACTTTACATCAGACAATGTCGCCGGACAAAAATTCAATTATTAAAAAAATATCGTTCGAACAATAATTTACTTTAACGTTTATAATTTACGTTATCTCTCGATTCTTCCTCGACAACAACATAAGTTATTATTATTTAACCATCGTTAAACTATTCTCGAACTCTCTAAAATCCCATTCTATCCATTATCCGAAATCCCTTAACTCGCCCACTCCTCCCTCTCTCCTCTCCTGCCCATTTGTTTGCAATTTAATTTCGTCGCGAATTCCCATCGCTGCGAATTCGGTTTCGCGACGCGTAAGACGCGCTTACAGGATCAAACTTTGCCCGCCCCGCGTTCACTCCCGGCGAGGACGACAACAACAAAGGCGTCGACAAGGCGAATAAAGTTGGCGAATAAAAGGGAGGGTAAAGTTCGAGGTAAGATTGCGCGCGGGAGTGGTAAACAGGGGAATACAGGTGTCCCCGTTTCCATAACGTTCGATTTCCGGATTGTTATCAGCCGTGGGAAGTTTTGCGCCACGGCCTCCGCGCGCACACACATATATATGTATATTTCTCTCGTGAGCCATGTCGCGTCAACGGCACGACCACCCACCTGTCCAAAGGCCTACGCTTCTATCCGCAATGAAATCAGATCTATCGTCGAGTGTTTGCATTGCAACGCGGCCGAATACATTTCGAATTCTTTATAATTTGTTTACTTTATTCTTCGATGACTTGCTTCGTGAATTCGAATAATTTAAAACGCTCTCGTTCGAATATATTATTCACGAATAATTTTTTGTTTAAAACATGATAATATTTTTTAAATTTTCGAAATATTAAAAAAAAAAAAAAGAAAAATATTTCGCAAAATCATTTTCTCGATTCGAGAAAGCGACGAGTTTCTCGATTTTAGATTTATAGATTTCGATCGAAACGAAGCAAAAAAAAACTCGAGAGAAAAAAAAGAAGAAAGAGAAGAACGATAATTCTCGCCAACAAACGGTTATTACGATCCTTTCCACCGTCTCGAAGCATCTCCCTTTCATTGGAAACGGATTACCGTCGAAAAATTGAAGATGGATAGAGGATGTAAGGTCGTTTGGAAGGGCGGGGAGGGGGAGGCACGGCCGCGCATTCATTTTAACTGGCGCGTTCGTTTTCCGCGACAAAGCGCCTCGCCGAATTCCACGCGACAAAGAACCTCCCCCGCGAGATACCTGCCGCGTCTTATCCGCGAAATTCATCCGACAAAAGTGTGCCAAGCTCGATTTCCCACCCCACCCCTCCTCCATTGGCCCCATTGTGCTTCTATATTCCTACTTGATGCAGGCGAAAAAAAGGCTCGCGCGTGGTGATAAAACGATAGAGCGGTAAAGGAGCGGAGAAAATTGTGTTTGAAAAGGGGAGGAGGGGGGAAGAAAAACGGGGAAATAAGGAAAGAGGGATCCTCGAGACGGTTTTGAGGCGAGATGAAACTTTATGCTGCACGCCCGTTAACGGTGCTCATTAAGCTGGAGGCTTTTGTGCAAAAACGAGGGAACGTGTGCAATTGTGATCGAGCGTGAGTTTGACGAGAGGGAGAAGGGTTGGGAATTTAACGAGTTGAGAATCGGGCGTGGAATGTACGATAGAGATGGATTTTGGGGAAGGGGGTGGTTATTGCTCGGTGGATTAAAGCGAAGTGTGTTGGATTGTTTGTTCAACTTTTCCTATCTTCTTGTTTCGTTGTTAATTTGTATTTTCTTTGGAATTTTAATCGCTCTTTTCGTGAAAATATATTTTAGGCAACGCACATTTAACATTGGAATATAACAATTTGCTATGTTTTTTTGAAAAAATAATTTTTTTAAAGACGTGAAAGTATTGGAAATCTAATCTGTATGGAAATTAAATTAATTTTCGGTTGAATGTATAATTATAATAATTTTTCTACGAGAATATCGTTGATCGGTATCGTGTTGATGACTATTAAATTACAAATGACAAAAAAAAATTGAAAGGATGACGCACACACATGTACAAGGTTGACATTACAAAGCGATATGGAAAACTGGATAGAGGGGTGAAAAAAGCAGGAAAGAGGGGTTGGGCAAACAGATTGGAAAGCCAACAAAGTTATCGAACAATGGTAAAGAAAAGCCTGCCAATGGGAAGGGGGATGAAAGAACTTTCGTGGAAAGAAGTTGAATAATACTGTGAATAGAAGAAAACCGGGGCAAAGGCGAAGGAAGGAAAATTACAGGGTGATCTGAAGAAGGGATAAGAAATTATTCGAAAGATATGTAAAAATGAATGATGAAAGTGGAGGGAAAGTGAGTATAAAGAAAAATCGGGCGATTAAAAATAAATAAACGAAGAAGTAAGGAACGATTAATAGAACAGATCAAGTTCGATGAATAAAGAGATAAATGCGAAGGGAAAAGAGAAGATATATAAGAAGAA